AAAATTAAAAAAAAAAAACACCAAAGTAAAGTATTGATTCGTTGGTGTCACTGTTCAACTAATTTTACATACACTACTTGTTTGATATAAATTCTTGAAAATTTCACATCATTAATTGGCATGCACAAATATTCAAACTACATTGATATAGATGATGGAACTGATTATAAAATTTCAATTGATATTCAAAAGTCAAAATATTTCTAAATTTTATTTAAAACACTATATGTACATTTATTATACACTTTGTTATACAATATACTTCCTCTGTCCCTAATTACTTGTCCACTTTTGAATTGACACACCTATTAGAAAACATTATTGACATAGTGACTTTACCATTTTACCTCTATTAATTATGAAGTGGATGAATTAAAAATTTAATATTTTCAAAAAGCTCTACCTTTTTCAAAGTAATTAATTGAGGGTATAATAAGAATTTTTTTTTTTGTCCTTTCTTGATTTGTCAAAATGGACAAGTAATTAGGGACAACTATAAAAGAAAAAATGGACAAGTAAATAGGGACAGATGGAGTATATATTGACTTCATTATTTACCTTTCATACAATATAGAGATAAGGGTTTGAAAAATACCCTATATACTTTGGTTGGATTTGCTGTTACGATACTAACTTTCATGAGGACCTATTACCTCCCTAGACTATTTAATACCGTATTTTTTACCCCCTGAATTATTTAATAGTGTATTTTAAAGGTATATATGTGCCCACGTGGACACATTACTATTTATAATTTTGCATTGTTTTTTATGTCCACGTGGGCAAATATATATGTTTAAAATACGTTATTAAATAGTCTAGGGAGGTAATAGGTTCTCATGAAAGTTTAGTATCGCAACAACAAATTCGATCAAAGTTAGGATATTTTTCAGACCCTTATCCCTACAATATATATACATATTATATATATATTTTTATCAGTATACTTTTTAATTTTACCCCAAATACCGAGTACACTTTTTTGTAAGTAATGTGAATATTTATTTTTGTCATAAAGACAAATCTAGTTTTAGGATTGGTAAGAGTAAGTTTGAGTTTAAGCTTATATAGTCCAAAGTTGGGCCATTTTTTGCAATCACAACGTGTCATTCCCCTTCTATATTCTAGAAAAATTACGGGGATGAGTACTTTTTTAATTAATAATTACAGATTTTAGTGATATTTTTTATTCATTATCATTTATAACAATATATATCAATACTACGATAAATCTCCATTATGTATTAAAAGTGAATCATGCATGCAATATAGATGTATTATAAGTGTTTTAAAATAGGCCAAACTACATAAATCCCACTAGTTTAGGACCTAATTACTTAGATTCCCAATAGTTTTAAATATTACTTCCTCTGTCATATTTCATACTTAGGATACATGAGTTTGAATTCGTGAGATACATGTATCTGCCGAATTTTAAAATCAAGATACGTATTTTATTTGTTTAAATTAATTGGTTGTAACTGATTTCCTTAATATAAGGCGGAAATCAAGGAGTGTATCTATGCTTAATTAATTTCATTTTATTATTATTTTAAATACTAAATTCGTTAATATTATTAATAAAAGACAAAAGACATGTATATCTTGGTCATGCAATTTGATTAATTTCATTTTATTACTCTTAAAATAATAAAATTCATTAATTTGATTTATCTATTATCAATATATGATGTATCCAACAAAC